TAAATTTATATCAGGTTATTCTTCAAGATTTGGGCTTTAAAATAAATATAAAATTATGATTTTAGCCCCATAGTTAACCTGTTATAAGCTTTTAAAGGTAACCAATAGTGGTTGCGTTTCTTTTGCTCACCACTGTATTTTGCTATACAAATTTTTAGCAAAGTAATAATTAAAATTTACAAGATATAATTTTAATGCTTCTGCCATTGGATATTTATTATCTTTCCAATAAAAATAATCAAAAAAAAATGCTAATGGTGTCTTATTATAATTTTTTCTTCTCCATTTTAATACAAATATCTATAGGCGAAATATTATTTCAATATATTCTTCAAATGATCTAGAATGAAATAACAAAGCATAAATATCAAGTGTAGTAGGAATTATATTATCCAGTAAGTCTATTAATGTTTTATATTCTATATCTTTGCATGTATGCATAAATTTTTGCATAATAATTTTTGATATTTGTTTTCATGCTTTACTTATCAATTTTAATATTAAATTTATTCTCTATGGTTTAGGTTTTTGCAGAGGTTTTTTTTGAATCAAATATAAAATGAAAAAGATTTTTAAAGAAGTTATGATATAATGTAATAGCTTTTTCGTGAAAATTTAAAGAAACATGGAATGGTTTAAGAATTAGAACAAAATTATGCTCATATAAAGAAATAACAGATTGATTGCCTTATAAATGAAGGTGTGTAATTGCCATATATATAAAAGCTAATCTATAATAATTGGTATAATATATAAGTATAAATATTTTTTAATGAAGGAACATTAGTAAAAGCTTTTATGACTTTGCGATAATCTGCAAGTGAATGTAAATTCATATTTTGAAAAAATATCATATAAACTCTTTTCATAGATCATTTTTCTTTTCTTTCTTAGATTGCATTATTATACTGTATGTATATATAATGAGTTAGTTAATATAGTTAAATTGATTTTGATTTATTGAATTTTGTGCAATCCACTGATTTTTTTTAATATTATAACTTGTATAAAAATTCCACTATAATATGTTTTTAAATACTAATAAAGATTAAAAGCATCAACATTTTTAGGATTTTAAATTGATAATTTTGATAAATTGTTAGAATTAGTACACAATTATCAACTAATTTTAAAAGATACACTACCCTCGGAAAAGTATCCGGTCAACTAAAATAATATTTTATTTATTTGAGATTTTCGATATAAATAAAACATTTAATATATTTAATATTCAGTAGACCATTCTTGGCTTCTAATGCATGCTTCGATTCTATGTGAGATGCTTTCTATAAGTTTAATATAGGTTTCAGATGAAATTTTTCTCCATTCTTCTTGCAATATTTCAAGTTCACGAAGATTTTTTGACATTACTAGAATTAGCATATCGAGTGATTATATCTGTAACAATGCTTTATGGAATCTTTAAAAAATGAGCAATAGCTTCATGAGTTCTTCTAGCTATCCATAAACCGATTATTTTTCCACGTTCAAACTCATTTAATACATGACTTTTTCCTATATCGAATGGCGCAGTTTTAAAAAAAAAGAAATGTTTACGTTTTTGTTTATTAAAATTGATCTACGTATTGTTACATGAATATAAACATATGTACTTAATCGTCAGAATCAGGAGATTTATTTAAAAAAAAAATTTTATTTAGTTAATATATCCGATCTTGAGAAATTTAAAAAAAGCTTGACCAGATACTTTTTGGAAAGTAGTGTAAATTGCAAAATATTTATCATTGGTAGTGATAGAAGTAATAGGTTGATGCATAAAATGAATTGCATGGTAATGATTAATATTAAATATATAAAGATTGTTATTCTAAATTTTTGTGTTTTTTTTATTTAAAATCAAAAGATTTTATTTAAATTTTAAATTAAATTAAATTAAATTATGTAATATAAATAAATTAAATTAGGATATATTTGTTACGCATTGGATTTTTTTTTGAATAACTTACATAAATTGTAAAAAATTTATCTATTTTATTAGGATGATTTGTTAAAATTTGTTACCTATAACCAATGTTATCATGTGACATTGATGGGATACTGATGGAACGCTGATGGGATATAGATGGGACAAATAGAACATTTAGAACATAGTGTGTGACAGGTTGGGATATATTGCTAGGACATATAGCTGGGACAACAAATCTCTGGGATATCAAAAATGTACATCACTGCCTGTAACTATCAACTGTTTAGCATATACGTTAAGATCTATTGAGGATTAAGTTTCTATACCTTTTCTTAAAGTTTCATATTCTTATAAAAAAAGTCAAATTTCAAGTTTTAAATTATTAATAAATTTATTACCCAACTTAGCAAAAAGGTAACAAAATCTAACAGCTGTTTTCTTTTCATTTTCTAATGTTTTTTTTGATCTTATTTTAGGATTTAATGCATCTACAAATTCTTTAAAAATCCTTGTAAACACAGTTCTTGATTTTCAATCAAAGCACAAAAACTTTCTGGATCTAATTTTAAAGAAAGATTTTGCTTTCTTTGCATATTATAGAGAACTTTAATTAAAAGCTTTAATTGTTCTCCAAAAATAAAACCTAATAAAATATTAATACATTAATATATTTATACTTAGAATAATACTTTTATAATAAAAGAAATTTTAAAAAAGTGTCACATTCAACTTACCGACAATCATTTTACTGATAATTATTTAAATGACAATCATTTGGTTGACAGATACATTTTACTGACACTCGGATTACTGTCTATTATTTTACTGATATGGTTATTTTATTGACATAGTTATTTTACTGACAGGTTATTTTATACTTTTTATTCAGTAGTTTGGACAAGAAAGTTATATATTTTGTCAGTGAAATAACTATGTCGATGAAATGATAGTTAGTAATCCAAGTGTCGGTAAATATACCTGTCAGCCAAATGATTGTCAGTTAAATGATTATCAGTAAAATGATTAACGGTTAATTAAACCAAACCCCTAAAAAAATAAATCATATTATAATTACCTTGATTACTTTCTACTTCAGTATTTGTATTATTATCATAAATTGGCAATTTATTTAAAAGCAAACTTAAATATTTATTTCGGTCAGATTCAACAATATTGTTGTAATGCATTTAACATAGTTGGTCACCAACTTTTAAATAGTTATATATATTAAATATTTCTTTTGTTTTAGCTTTTTCATATGCAAACTTAATAAGAATATAAAATTTGATATCTTTATTATAATTATTTATTTTATAAGGTCTACAATTTGATAAACGTGGCATTTTTTAAAATTTCATGATATATTTAAAAAAGAAGTCACGTGTTTTTTATAATTTTAGTGATGATCAGCAATAATTTCACCAATTCATATGCAAGCTTAATAAAAATATAAAATTTGACATCTTTATTATAATTATTTATTTTATAAGGTCTACAATTTGACAAACGTGGCATTTTTTAAAATTTCATGATATATTTAAAAAAGAAGTCACGTGTTTTTTATAATTTTAGTGATGATCA